TGCTGTTTATAATGATCTAGTGGAGTTATATAGAACCAATCGCTTGTATGAACTGTACTTTCTTATAGTATACGTAATGCTTAAATAACTTGCTGTTTATAATGATCTAGTGGAGTTATATAGAACCAATCGCTTGTATGAACTGTACTTTCTTATAGTATACGTAATGCTTAAATAACTTGCTGTTTATAATGATCTAGTGGAGTTATATAGAACCAATCGCTTGTAGACCAATGAATTACGTTATCTAGGAATGGTACGTACCAAGTAAAAAGGCATTCACTATAGGGTCATTTCATAAAGTTTTTACTTACCGGAATCACCAACTGACCACTGTTCTTTTGAGCAAAATTGACCAGAATTTTTGCATTTTCCCCACGCACACCAACGTCCGTCTACTAATGTGATATCAAATTAGACACCGTCGAGTATACTTCACCACGAAGGTCTGGCATGGGCTGGTGCTTAGGGCAATCTGCGAGCCGCAGCTTAGAATCCCGTCCCCAAACATGCTTGTCCTTTCAGCTGTGGAAGCTTTATAATGTAATGATCAATCCCACTATTCGTGGGTAAAGAGTAGCCCAGGAGTTGTCGGTGGGTGGTGTTGACTAGCTGCCTTCCCTCTAGTCTATATCTTCAAAATTAGGAACAACTAGCGCAGATAGCCCTCGAGTAGCTTTGCGCGAAATTCAAAACAAACAAACAACAACAAAATACCATGTTATATTCGTTAGTTTAATCCACGCGTTTATGATTATAATGTTGTTGTTTTTATTTTTCATACGAAACTGCGGTTGTTCTTGGGTGAGATGATTTTACGATAAGACGATACTTGTAACACATATCGTATCCAAATAACATAGAGGCTAAGCATTCAGGTAACCATAACAACGATTATAAAAAAAACTTCTTTTATTTCCAGCATTCACATTATTAACTCTCCTAGCATAAGAATTAATCAGCTTGGACTTTATTTCCAAGTTGTATCCGTAGGGGAGGGGCTGCTCTTCTACAGATGTAAGCAAAATCATTGTTTTGCGATATACGAGGTAATTTTTAGTATCTAAACCAAAACCAAATCTTCCCTCTTACGAGCAGTTAGACTAGAATAGGCTGCATGCACGTGATTATATTCGAGACATTCTCGATAAGAAGTAGTGCCCTTAAGTCTGCTTTTAAATCAATCGAAATGTTTTCCTGAATCTGGGGTATATGTTACACACAACTAAATCTATAATACACACATTTATCGACGACTAGGAGTCGTTACATGGTTTTCCTAAGCCTCTTTTATTAACCCTTAACTACAACAGTTAGGGTCTATACGTGCACGTAAGCCCTCCAGTGGCACAGCGGTATGTCTGCGGACTTACGACGCTAGAAACCGGCTTTCGATACCTGTGTTGGGCAGAGCACGGATAGCCCATTGTATAGCTTTGTGCTTAAGTACAAACAAACATGCACGTAAGGTCTTTTTATTTTGTTAAATAAATAACTTTCTTAATTTTAATAATTTCCCTTAAGTAAATGGAAGCTTTTAAATACAATAATATACTCTTTAAACAACTAATTATTTCATAAACAGCTTTTAAGTGACATAAACGAATCGTACGTGTTTGATTATTATAAAAAAAAAGTCATAAAAATTGCACCAAGAGAGAAGAAGCTGTTTGATATCAGATTATAAATGTTGCGATGACCGCGTTGTGTCAACGATTAAAATATGGCCGTTGCAGTAGCTAACGCGTCTTTACCTTTATAAATGGAAGTATTATAAACTCCAATCTATACACAGCTTGCCTCATTTCATTAGTTCAACTCTACCGTTTCGTTATATGACTCTAAGTAAAAGAGAGAAACCTTATATTCAATATAACACTAGATGTACCTCTGCAGGGTCCCCCAAAGTGTTCTGTTTCAAAAGAAAATAAAACCAAAATTAAGAGTAAAAAATGTTTTTATTACTTGCTTTTAAAGTTCATGTGTCATGCTGTGTTGTAGCCAATAAAGTGCATAATTCTTCTCGTGATTCCTGGCATGCGCACGTTTTACTGATGTCTCGACAGTACAAATTGCAACGTTAAGCGTCTCTTATGTGACGTCATTTTAGTGTCTACTGACTGACAGACAACACACTACTGTAAAGTGTTTGCGAATGGTTAAAACAGGTGACCCCTCAAGGCGGTCTTCGGATCCCTTTCGGGAAAATAACTTTGTACTTACGGCTATTCTAAATATCAATCTAGAAAATTTGTTTGCTCACTTTTCATCATTAATAAATAGTTTATTTTATAAGAGAAATAAAATAATTGATCCTTAATTACATATAGAAGTATTGTTACAAGTATTATTACATATACAAGTAATTGTTACATATACAAGTATTGTTACTACAGTATTGTTAGCAAATATTTTATTTACTTCTATACTTAAATAACCAACAAATTCGTTAATAAAAGTTTTTTTTTGTTGACACGTTTACTTATCTATAGCTGTTCCCCGACGGCTCATGATAAACTTAATGGCTAGTAACGCTAACTTTCGGGCTTCAATCCCCGATACGGACATAGATTAGACAGATATTTGATTTTGTGACTTTGGACAAAAACAATCAACCAAACATTTATACTTTCTGTTCCCAGAGTACGAAAGACTTCATAGGATTCCAACAGAAAAAATATGGCACAAAAACAAAGGCCACAGATAGTGTTCGGATATGTATTACTTAGGTTTGATTAAATCAAACAACTGAACTGAAGTAAGAGCTCGAATGCCAAGCAAATCATAAACATTCCAGTACTTACGGTAAGGCTGTGGTGACTGGATATCAATCAGGCAAGAGCCCGTTATTCTGGAACAGAGAACAGAACGATAGATACTAAAATATTAATATACGAACCATACATGTGAAAAGAATGTATTCCACACTCTCAGTCAACCTAGCATAAAATTCAGTAACACCTGGATACCCACTTTTGAAACCATTCGAATTGTTAGAGTGAGTAGCTCATCAAAACTTCCAGCAAGAAGACCCAGATGTAATACTTCTCAAGTGTTTCCTAAAGATGGCAGCAGATTAGCAGACGAAACGTAGGATAAAACTAGTTAGTAATTCGTATCTAGCTGTTGGAAAAAAGTAAATGTTTAAATTTAGGTGATCGTATATGCTACTTACTAACCATGGCAACAGTCGTAAACTTTCCTGTTCGTACATACATATATACACACACACACACACTGATGTTATAAGTGATTATTATGACGTTGAGAAACACATAACACAAAGAAGAAGAAGAATCAAGAAAACACTTAAATATTTTTAATACTGACGAAAAAAAAAGTTCGATTTTTTGCGTGTAATTTCTCATTCTTAGTCTCAGGTCTCCCTCTGCTTATTGAATATAAATTTCAATAAAACAGCAGAAATCTTTTAAAGCTCCGTAACCCTATCGACCGAAACCGTACCTGATGATTTTGTTGATGTTACAGTGATCGAGTTTTTCAACAATTTGTCAGGAACGTTTTAACGCGGTGACGATGAAACAGTAGCTTTTTTTTCCAATTTTTTTCATTTATTTACTTCTCTTCCCCACTACTGATGGCTATAAGCATTTTCTCATCATCACCAAGATTAATACATCGCACTTGAAAGCCCTTTACCTGGAACATGATAACGCCCACAAACTGATATTTTAATAATGACAGCCAACACCAGTGCCGTGACGCAGTAAGCTGTAAACTAGTTTCGTTTTGATTGGTCAACGTCACGTGGCCTTCGAAACCAGAGGCGGTCTCTACATTGTGACTGAAGCGGCCCACTACGAGACCCATCTTTAGTTAACTATGGTTCATAGATTTGGTGCGGATGTATATATAAAAAGCAGTATCCGTGCCAGTGCATTCCTTCTAAACACACTGATCGACAACTCTGACCTCGAGGTCATATGTGACACTTACGCAGCTGCTGAACGTTCACTAAACAATTCCGTCGCTCGTATTCCTTCGACATTCGAGTCGTTCCTCCGGCTCTTGACGGCTTCGGGCCGGTGAAGTCGCCTGGGACTATTATGCTTGCACCACTACTAATTAAGCGTGCAGAGAACTAACTCGGTATCAAAGCTTGGTAATCCTATAACAGAAGTGCGGTAGATATGGCACTGGACACCGATTATCCCCACTCTATGGCTTGCAGTCCTGCGCCGCGAGAGCTGAGGAAGAACGGGGATGAGAACGATCGGCGAAACGAATCTTCCGACAGTCTAAACCGGTTTTCTTTGCCAGGAAACAACCGTCTCTCGATGCCAACAACTGGGACTGCGAGGTCGTTGAAATTTTCTATTGAAAATATATTATCTCCAGATTTTGGAAGAGCAGCCAAGGAACAACGTTACAATTCTACCGGCACCTCTCAATCAGACAAACAGAAAATTTCCTTCGGAAGCGCTCAGGTCAAATCTACCGGGACGCCTGTTCCCACCTCTCCTGCCGCCGAAACCAGATCCGGTAACGCCAGTACCTCGCCTTCGCCTCAGCCGACAGTCTGGCCAGCGTGGGTCTTCTGTACTCGTTACTCGGACAGACCCTCCTCAGGTCAGTTGAAACTATAATTTGTCTGTCGTGTATGTCTGTAAAACGTTGCTGTAAAACACCTCATTATGCACTGTAAACATCACACATTCACTCACTAACAAATTAAACATAGATAGGGATCAATAGAAAAGTGTATCACGTAACTTGCACTAATACAAAACGTGTTACAGCATATTAAACCCAATTGGCAGTCTTCAAAGTTTGCATCTATTTACAATTATTACAGTTTAATTTTTTGTGTACTCTGCTGGCTAAACATTTGGGTTCGATACTCGCGGTGGGCACATCACAGATATCCCATTGTGTAGCTTTGTGCTTATTAACAGTTTGCTTTTGTTTCTAATCGATATGACTTTCCAAGCGTCTAAGAAATGTAACGGCACAAGCATGATAAAAATAGCACTGATACTAATAAGGCACTGTGTCCACTATCCTATGTGCACGTGTGTGTCTACTATTAAGGCACTATATCCATTGTCCTTTGAATACATATAGTTTGATTATTTGTTTAAGAGATGATGCTATTGACATGCTCAAAACGCGGCTTGAGTCACTCAATACAAATAGGACTCATCAGTTTAAATGTACGCCGATAGCAGGGTTGAGTTGACTCAAAATAAGATTTTGTGCACGTGTTTAGTTAGTTAAATGTTAGAAAACTTTCATGTACAAGACCAGCCTCTGTTTGGTGCAGAATTACAGTGATTTTATACAAAGTATTACTGTACCATGATACCATTATCACATATCCACAACGAGTCGGATTTAACTGGTACAAACTTCCTCATATATACGATGTTGTGAAATGTAATTTTATTGATTTATTAAATTAATAAATTTTTATACACACAGTCGATAGGGCAGTGGTATACATATATATATCTCGCATGGTTTAGACATTTAATCTTTTTTTTTTTCTTTTGTTGTTTTTCGCTAAACGATACAAGCAACTTGAAATATGGATTAAACTTTCCAATTTTCTATAGTTATGCCATTTTCAGCATCATATGTGTGTGGTTCATAAACGTTTCTTAGTGCAAATTAAGTATAGCTGTTTGGAATTTTCGTGAGGCCTGGTTTATTAATTACACACAGAAAATCGTGTACAAAAATAAATGTAAGCAAATTTCCTGCTTGCCATTCCTTCGTTACAAATGTTTTATAGATGCATTACTGCCTTATTGTACCCATTTTTAGACCACATGATTTTTAAATACACATGAAGCTTATTTTTGGAGATCCAAAAAAAGAAATACTCTTTTACTTCTCGATTTTCACTGAATATTCAAATTAAAACAAGAATATGTTATTTATCTAATTATACAAAGACTTTACCTATGAAATCAATGACATATGTAGTTGTGTCACAGAAAATGGATTTGATTTGACATCCTATAATAAGATGAATATTAAATATTTTGATGACGAGGCTTAGGTAGTATAGGTAAAGGATTACGTACACTATAAGAAGTACAGTTCAATTAGTGTATATAATCACAGATTTTATGGG